TAATTAAAATTACATCCTCACTGAATCCTACACCAATAATCTTTAGAACAATTGTTCTCATATAAGGCTACAAATTTCCTTTGTTTCTTCAGCTTTCATCCTTCACCCATATTTTACACATTTAGCTAATAGAGACATTTGAAATGCTTCTAGTAATGATGCTAAATTTTACATTTTTATGATTGTGGTTTAATTTAAGTACTGGACTATTTTGAAATTGCATTCTTGAACCCACAAATCTGCCTTTTTTCCTATTTTTCCCAAATTTTAAAAGGTTCCTTAGAGCAAACAACATTTTGATTTTTAGCCAGTTCCCTTTTATTAGCTATAAAGTATTTATTTGGGTTTGGGGGCTCATTACTATCGTTCTGCACTGAAATAAGTAGAGACAGAATGGGATGTATAATATAAGCACAAAAATCACTCTTACTTCATGTAAGTAGCTGAAATATCCCATGCACTATTTTGGTTCTTCATCCAGTGAAAAGTGACATCTTAAAAACAAATCTGAGCACTACTCTGGTGTTCTCTCATTTTAAAAAGCTAAACATAACTGTATTTTGGTAATGAGAGATGAGAACTGTGAGTGCGAGTGTCTAGCATTATATATTTTTGCATGTATTTACTACTTTTATTTTATTAAAATAAACTATGCTTGAAGTCATAAGCCTTTCTCTTAAGACACTCAGCTGAACGCTAGAAAACTAATCTTATAAATGTAGCTTAGCCTTAAGTTTCTTAAAATATATGTTCAGGAAATAGATCATTTTAATTTCAATAAGAGGACACCTGATTCTTCACTGCCTTGCATCTTGTGTGGTTGCTTGTACCCAGTTTACATGAGTGAATATTGGATATAAAACATTACAAGTCAGATATGATAATGTTTTACACCACAGGGTTATATTCATAGATTCCAAAGCCAAAAAGGACCATTGTGATCATCTAGTTTCCTTTTAGCCTTTCAGAACTTCCCCAGTGTTCCAAGACTTAGTGAAAATCAACATTAATGATTGTGAGCTGCTCAGTCAGCTCATTTAAAACTCTTGAATGCAAGTTATCCAGGCTTGCTGATTTTAAAGTGTCTAACTTCAATAGCTGTCCCACCAAGACAGCAAAGAATAAGGCTCAGTGTGTCTAAAGATTTATTGGACTAGAAAGTCACGAGCCCTGCCCCAAACTGCTTACAATCTATATTCAAAAGAGGTAAGAGTTCAGCCCCATATCTTGTATCTGATGATGGCATATGCTCAAGTAGCTAAAGTATTGCAGATGATGTTAGTGACATAGCTGAGGTGTTTCTACTGTTCTTATCTGACTGTCCTGTCTTTTTGACAGCAATAGGTGTTAAGGAGCAGAGGTTGGAAATTTGGCACATGAAGGGAAAAATGCATGGAAGAAACTGGAGCAGCTAAACATTATTTGTATTGCAAATGTCATTCTAGAATTACTCCCAAGTTATGTTTCTCTACTTTCTAATGTGTATTTAGTATGATGGAACAGATGAGCTGCTAGTTACTCTGTAATGTCCTGTGTACAGATGTCTTAACTTTCTAAGAACATAAAGTAAGAGGAGCAGCAAAGGAAACGAAAAAAGCACCTGCCAAATAACAAAAGATGAAATGTTGAGTCTGGCATTATTTCTTCATTGCTGAAGTTCATTAAAGCTCAGGACCTCAATTTGCTCTCTGGAACAGGAAGGCATGCCTGCCCTTTAATGAGCTTTAATACAATCTCAGCTCCATTGAAGTGGAAAAAAACCCAACCAACTTTTGGACAGCAGAGAGATCCCAGTGGAGTATTAGTGATGGGGAGGGAAGGAAATAATGGCTGGGACAAGGTTGAGGAGAAAGATCTCCAAGCCCAAGGAACGTACCCTTACTTTCAAGATCTGTTTTCCCAACCCACCACCATTATGGGTCTGGTTCACTTCGTTTGACCCTTTGACCTCACTCCTGTCCCTGTTCTTTTATTAGTTGTCCCCCATAATTTTTTGGTCGCCAGGTCCTGTGGACACCCCCCATTAGGCTGGGGGGGATCCTTTAGCACTTCCTGGATCCCAATAGGACCATTATGGGTGGAGAAGAGGACTTGAGAGATGAAGGGCCTTCCATGAAAGGTATATTTTTAGTGTTCTTTATTATACTTATATAATAGAATGGGTCTGGGTATTGATGTTCTGATTCGCAGGGTGTAGCCATTGCCTGTTTTGGTAAGAACTGATATAGTCACCAGTAAAGACAGAAAGCTTCATCTTCTATCTCTCTGTCAGTGAGCTGATTAACAACTGAAAGACCAAAGGTTTCCCTTGCAAGGAACCAGCCCATTACTGCCTTCCTACTATCACCAAATAAATAGTCCTCTTTCTGCCATCAATCTGTCTATAAGGGCTGCTATCATGTTAGCTGTTGTGGTGTTGGATGGCTGTAAGAACAAAGTTCTTGGGGATCCCTGCAGCTCACTGTCCACCAAATGCCATTGTAGCTGGCACCAAAATGGTGTTGGAATGACAAAGTTTAAAACATACCACAACAGAGTTGCTGCCAGCTCAAAAGCCAGACATGTTCATTGTCAGTAATGGTAAATAAACCACACCCTAAAGGTCCCAAGTTTCAGAGATTACAGTTCTGAAGTTGATGATTCACCTACTCATAGGTGTAACAACTGGATGTAAATGGGGATGAGGTGGCATTGTTGCCCAGCTTTCAGGCTGGGGGGAAACACGGTCTCCCATTCTCCTTTCCCATAACTTTGATCTTGTGTTGGATGATAGGGAATGGAAGACAGGATCCAGCCCTAAATGTACTGCTGTGAGCACAAGCTATGCATCTGCCCCGTCCATCCTATGTGGTGTTGCCTAGCAGAAGTGGATATTTCACTCAGGATAAAAGGCAGAAGGAGTACCTAACTCAGTCAACATAGGGAACCAGAGGGAAGGATCCAGAATAGCTCCTGAGGCCTGTGCTCATTGGCAGCAGAAGGGATTCTTTCCTCCTGCCTGGAGACCATGAGAAGAGACCGAGGAAGGAACTGCTGTAAGGACAGGCATACCATATTGGGGAGACTGGTTCAAAAAGGACAGGAGAGGAGGAACATAGAGCATTGCGGGAGGATCCAGAGGGACAGAAGACCCCCCTGGAGGACACAGAACACTGCGGGGGGAGTGCACAGGGGAAGAAATAGAGCACAAATAGGATACAGGTATTTGGGTGACACTGGAGGTGGAGAAGAGGGAGCAATGGTGACACAAAATCCAGGGGAACAAATTGAGTGACACAGCCTTGGGTGGGGTGACACAGTGGAACACAGAGCACTGGGGATACAGGACATGTGCTGGGGCCTGGAAGGGGGCACACACAGTGCTATGTCACACCCACACATGAACTTGTTGGTATACATAGGACATCAGGTTACTGGTGGGCTTTTTGTTGGTAAGGAACTGAGCTCATCTGTGGAGGCAGCTTCCTGTTCCTTCAATTTGTAGGTCCAAAATTGCTCAGTGGTACTCTCTTCATCTCTGTCTTTTTGGGGCCAGGGGGAGGTTCATTTATGAACCTTTCAATACCTCACTCTAGGCACATAGCATGATGTTCAGAAGCATCCCTGACCCTGATGTTCTTATGTACCTTAAAGATTAGGGAACCTTTTGCCAGTGCCCCCCTGTACAATCTCTCCTCCCCCCCTTTGCTAATGCTGCTTATTTTAATAATTTTATTTTTCCCATCTCCTCCTCAACCTCATTCCTTCCTTAACCTACCATCACCTAATCCATAAAGAGCTTTCAAAATGGCTGCCAGGGCACTTGCAGCATATGTTCTTCCAGATATTAATTCACACTGGAATTTATAATGGTGTCCATGAATGTTCTTGCAAATAAATATTAGGTGCAATTAGATACTTGCAAATATGACTATAGGGGGATTTATGGAAGCAGGAACAATGTTTCATTTGCAAGATGTTGATTATTCTATAATTCCCGATGAATTGTTGCCCCCAATAACACAGAAACTAAATACATTCTCATCATTCCCCTTCTTTCTCTTTTTTGGGGGGGGAAAGTGGGTGAGGTTATTTTTAAGGATTTGCATAATGGAGTTAGTAAAAATATTTAAATATTAAAGTTATTGTAGACTGGCATGTACATGAAACCATCTTGGCTTATGCCAATTAGTGACTTCATTAACTATTACCACTTTTCAGTACTTTTTTCCTATTAGTAATATTAATGTTAAAGTAATTCACAAGTTTATTAAACTGCAAAAAAGTATGTGTCAGTTACAAATACTGAAGTGGTAATTACATTACTTGCAAAGCATTTAGTGGGAAATTTATACGTAATTAATACTGTAGTCCCATACATTTCCTTTCAAGTGATCCAGGGATAAACAGTGAATAAATTACTTTATCTCAAGAGATAAAGTAATTTCTGCCTTGCTAAAGAACAAGTTGAAAATATGTTTAATGTACAATCTTAACCAGTTTGCCACTGCATTACAATTGTCCAAGTTTTTTTTTAAGAAAAACATACTTTGATGTATCAGAGACAGCAATTATCAACCTACACTGACACTTGTTAGATGTCAGGCATGTTTTATTTTGTCTCTGAAAGCCTAGCCGGCAAAACAAAATGTTCAGTAAGTCAATCAATTCACTTATCCCTGAGTCACAGTAAGAATGCAATCATAAAAGTTACAGTATGTGTCTGTTCTCAGACTCTGGGATGAATCATTGTTTTCTTATAATTTCTTCCCACATTGGTTCAGTATCTTTGTTCAACTTTTCTTTACCATTTTAGTCTTTCCACTACTTTACCTATAGAATCCCTTGTTCAGCCTACACTTTCTATTTGGAGATGCAAACACAGAAGCCAATAGAAAGACTCCAGTTGATTTACATGGGCATCGTAGAAGTCCCTAGTTGATTTATATCCTCCTTAAAATCAGCCCTTTCCTCTTGTCCCATCTTTAGAAACCTTAGTCTGTGCCTTGGTCACCTCTTACCTTGACCAGCCTCCTGTCTGTTTTTTTAGCTTTCTTCTCTCCAGCCTATCCAAAATGCCACAGTTAAAATAATCTTTCTTCTAACGCTTTGTCCGGACCCTCTTAAGCCCTCCATTGATTCCTGTCCTTTCCCATGTCAAATTCAGTTCCTCATCTTCACCTTTAATGTTCTCATGGCTTCATCTGTACCTGTGCCTCAGTCCTTATTTAGTTCTGTACCTCCTTCAGTGCTCTTCATGCAATCCATTTCTCTTTCTTAATGCTCCCTTTTTCTTTTCCTTACACTCTCTTGAATTCATAATTTCAATCATGCTGCCCCCTGGTGTTGGAACTATGATTCTGGTCCTGGGCACCAAGTGCTCTTTGTCTTTTTCTTCAAGTCTCGCTTTGAAATCTACTTATTTAATTTAGCTTTCGGTCATCAATCTCCTAAGGCTATTTCTTGTCCCAATCCTGACTTGTGCTTCATTCTTAAAATGTTTGGTTTGTATCAGCTCATATCTGATTGTAAAGTCCTCAGTCCAGAATTCTGCATTTGTAATGCAGCATCTTCCCCTGTGATACGGTGCTAAGAATTAAATATTGTTGCCAATGTGCCAAGTAGTAGCAGATGGCCTTACAGATCAGTTCCCAATTAGAGAGGAAGGCAGTGACATGGAGCCTGGGATATTCTTAGTGCAACTTGTTTATTTTACACAATATACACCAGTCCTTAAACAGCGGGGGTCAGACAGCATGCCGGCAATCCCATCTTTCAGGAATCTCAGTTAAAACACCAATACCTAGTTCCCAGGGAGTAACACTGCACCATGAATTGATTTTAGTTAGAGAGATTAAGGCAGAGAGAAAACTTTCCTGCTGATTGTAACAGCTTCCCCTAAAGAAATCTTCATCACAAAACTACAACATTTCTTCAAAGACTACACTGCTTACACACCAAGAAAAAGAACTTGTATGACGGTGTGTAACTGTCCTGTCTGATTGCTCCTGCCATAGCAATATATTGGGTTAGATCCTCAGCTGATATAAAGAGACATAGGTCCATTGGAGGCAACACAGTTATGCTGATTTACATCACCTGAGGATCTGGCCCAATAATAATAATAATACATTCATGTTTGTCTTATTATTTTTATTAATCACACCTATTGTATGACTCTAACTGACTAACTGGATCCACTAGATGCTACTGCCATACAAATATAAAAAACAAGACTCTGGCTCAAACCTCGGAGTCCTCATTCAGTGTTCTCAGTCCTCACGCAGGAAAATTTCCCATTAACATCATTCATAAGATAGGAATTAACCAGATAATAACACTGTGTACCTGGTCTGAGCTCTTCTAATGTCTAAACAATGAAGCAAGATATAATTGTTCTCTCCAGTAAGTAGTCGAGGAAAACAGGAAAGAATTCAAGATTCGACCCTTATCATAATACATAATAAACACTTACGATGTTTAAATTTACACATTTATTATCGATAAAATTCATCTCAGTTCTGAGGACCTGTAATCTCACCAAAGACCTTAAAATGGCAGATTAAGTGATGTGCAAGGACCTGCGCAGTTGCTTTTCTCTGATGTGAATTTCACCTTTGTATGCATTAAATCAAATACAATAAATTTACACTGTCCTGTATTGAGAGGTATTAGTATCCTTATTGCCAGTTAAATCTATATTAATATCACAGTGAAGACAGCTTGAACAACAATCTTTGCAATGTTGTGCATAATAAGCCAAATTTAGAGAGTTATACCAAATGCATTAATTGTCTTATCTATAAGACTTATTCCAGCACAAACTTTTTGTTTATGTATTTAGTAAGTATTTTGTATTAGTTTACCACATGGTGTAACTAAGTACTTTAACTGAATCTTGCCCAAAGTGTGTTGGTCACTAAACTGCAAACTCATATTACTGCTATATAATGTTATCCCAATCTCTTTGGCTGCCAGTCTTATTTCAGATAAACTGTCACATCTACTTGCAGCCTACCTTTAAGATATGTCTTTGAGTTAAATAGTCCCAAAAGACAGATCATGCACGTTGGAACTCTTTCTGGAGAATAGAGATATTAATAACTGAAGGTAGTGCTGAATGTGGGTCTCTGCTTAATAAGTCATGTATCACAATGAAAGCATGTTGCACCTTTGCTCTGTAATCTGCACTGACTGCCAGTAGGTTTCCAGGTGCAGTTTAAGATGTTGATTTAAATCTCTACAGCCCTAAATCTTACCTACATAGAGAGGAGATATTTACTCGTGGAGCCCTCTTTAATCTAACAGGCAAAGGCATAAGAAGATCCATTGGCTTGAAGCTGAAGTCAGAAAAACAGACATTGGAAATAAGATGCGATATTTTTAACAGGAAGGGTAATCAACCACTGGAAAACATTAGCAAGGGATGTGATAAATTTTCCTTTACTTGGAGTCTTTATATCATCTTTCTAGAAAGATGCACTCCAGTTCAAGTTGTTGAGTTGGATTCAAGAATTACTGGATGGAATTCTATGGTCTATTTTATGTAACGAATCTGGTCTGAAAAATCACTCACAATCAATGATTTGGGACCTGAAAGGAATTATTGTCTCTTTGTGCAATAAATATAACTGAAGTTGTGCTCACTGGAGGCACTTGAGCTGGAGCCTCAGTTTGAAAGACACTTTTTATTCTTCATGAGGCACTTGCTGCCCACCTAGGTCTGCTCCTACCCAGCATTGTTAGGCTTTGTAGCATGCCTGGAAGGCAATTTTCTTTTCTCTGGTAGTTGAAGACTGACCAATATAGTATATTTAAAGTGGGGGGCTATGATGGCTTTTGTGATATCTTTAGGCTTTAGAGGGATAAAAATGCATTTTGAGGCAGACCCACTGGGAGCCTGTCTTGAGCTCACTTTATTAACAAACAGGGAGAGCCAGACCCAAGACCATCTTGAAATTTGATATATCTACTGAAACATCATTAAAGGGAGCTTTGTTACTTATTCCAATAGCGTACATTTATTTTTAATTCTATGTACAGGTCAATCAGTGAGTGCAGCATATACTTTATATTGTTAGGTTTTTTTTATTTAAAATATTGTAATGCTCCTAGAGTAAAAGACTTCAGCTGAAAAAAAATAGAAATAAGTAAATTTTAATATAACTTGTGGACACATTCAAGTCCCCAATCGCCATGCAAACCTCACCATGCTACTTTTTTGCCACCCCAAGCGGCGAAGGGAAAATAAACAAAAAACGATTGAGCTGCCGCGGATGTGCCGCCGAAGAGGAAGAGAGGGAGTGAAGGCCCCGCCACTGAATTGCCGCTGAAGACCCGGACATGCCTCCCCAACAACAGACAGAGTGCCGCCCCTTTCTATTGGCCGCCTCAGGCACCTGCTTCCTTCGCTGGTGCCTGGAGCTGGCCCTGTGTTCGACATAGATCAGGGACGGCAACGTAAAACTTCAGTGCAGTAGAACATCAAAGATACGAACACCAGAGTTAAGGACTGACCGTCAACCGGACACCATGTGAAACCAGAAGTAACCAATCAGGAAGCAGCAGCAACCCCCCAAAAATGGAAAAAAGCAAGTACTGTACTGTGCTTGTATTGCATCTTGAAGGAAGGTACATGTGGGCCGCCTGTCAGCCCATCCCCACCCCCAAGGCAGCCACTTAAAGCAAGACACTGGGGCTGCCAGCCCAAGGCAGCCTGAGCCAGCAGAGCAGGAACAGCGCCGGGCAGCTTTCACCCCTCCCACCCCAGAAAGGGACATGCTGTTTTCTTTCTCTCACACAGTCCGTCACTCACACAAAATCATGTGGGGCTGAGTAGGGGTTCAGCTGCTGCTGAATCCTGGCCTGGAGCGTCAACTGCTGGATCTGTAGCCCGAACTGCACTTTGTTCAGCGTTACGAACGTTTCAGAGTTATGGACAGCCTCCATTCCCGAGGTGTCTGTAACTCTGAGGTTCTACCGTAGTTGAAATATTGGTTCTGATTTGCAGTGATTGCCTATCAAGAATATTACTACAGCTGAACCTCAATGGCTTTCTGACCACAAACTCCTTATTTTATTTGTCTGCTAAGGTTGATTTGTCATTTGGAGCCTGTTTCTGTTAATTTTTGTGCAGGGTTTTTTTTTTTTACTGTCAGTGACTGGGTGGGCATGTGTTGCTTCTTTCAGCACATGTGCACTATTAGTAGCATCCTAGATGTATTTGTTTAGATGTCTTGTGTTCTTTCTGTAGGACCAACCCTCCAGAATGGTTATGACAAATAATGATGGTGCAGATGGTAAAACTATTATGCTGATAGGTTGCCAGCCACTGTTTTTTTCTTCATTTACAATGGGACAACTGGCTGACATTCTTGTTATACTATATCTTCTGTTATAGATTCCAGGTGTTCTGTCTCTTGTAGTTACTTCAGGATAAATGGAATTTGGCTCAAAAAACTTGTTAGATGTTGACACTAATATTTTTGTACTTCCGTCCATAAGATCTTGCAAGGCAATAAAGCGTGATGTGGTGTGTTGTGATATTCTAACAGTGGGAAATGTGGAATACTTGTAGATCTGCCAACATACATAATTTTAATAGTGAATCTCAAGATATTTGGTGTGTTTTCTTAAAGCCCCAGCTGCTGGAATCAAGATATTTTGAGAATTTCGGTGTGTGTTAAAAGGGTAACTTTCTAGCCTTCATTGGTGCAGAGAAAAACTTGAAAATATGAAGCAAGTGCACCCTACAGGCTCAGAAAACAGAAGACAAATTAAAAGAATCCCCAAAATATTATGAGTTTTTACACCAATCTCATTATTTAAAATATCATTTTATTTATTTTCATCCTGACTCATAATTTTTGAATACTTGGGCTTGGCAGTATTGCGCTTGAATCTGCCAGTGACGTTTTGATCAAACACTTCGCTATTACTACTGACTTTTCTGTTAATCCATTTGATTGTGCATTGTAAAGGTGTGGGTGCTATGTGCTTGAACTGATATATCAAAGAGAATTGCCAAAGGGAATCACTTTTCAATTCTGGGAAATTATTTGTTTTAACTCATCTAAAGTCCCATGGTGAGTTTACTGCAGTTTACAATGTTTTATGATGTGACTATTAATGTCTTGTGCAGCAGTGTAACATTATAGATATAGACTGTGTGTGTGTGTGTATATATATATATATATATAAAATGAATCAGGGTGGCCAAACTTATTGACCCTCTGAGCCGCATATGATCTTCAGACATTTGAGAG